AAGGGTCCCTCAAGGACGTTTGGAGTGGAAGGTCAAATGGTCTTGTGGGTCAGCCGTCCCCAAAAAAAAATATTCTCAACCCAAGAAACATCATCTCATGTGCAAGTATCTCTCCTATACTAAAACTAAAAAAAAACAGGACGTAAGGAGAAGAAATCCATCTTCACCTCACGCCCTTATGAATATTTGAGGACCAAGGGCAGAGCAGGTAAAGCAGCCAGATGATGTAGAAAAGGTGCTATCGTGCATAGAGAGAGGCTTATTAAAATGAGATTAAACGTTTTGGCACTGGTCCCGTGTGAGACGTACTCCCTTTCGCTTTTACTCCGAGAAAATATGAGAAATGGTTTTCAGAGGTTGTAAGGATTTATTCAAGGACGGCATCGGTTTTTCAAGGGATCAATTGTCCATTTGGGTAGAAACGAGAGGGGTAAATGGGTCAGGGGATTTGCAGCAAAATGAGGGAAGGAGGGGTGAAGGGGAGGGGGGGGGTGAAAAATTGGGTTGTTGGTTTGCTCAGTAATGACCTTTCGGCGCCTGCGTCCCTCTTATCAATTTTTCTTGTTTTTTTTTTCGTCATGGAACTCCTCGTTCAACTCGTCAAAATCAGGAAAATTGGATGTCTCCCCCACGACATTCTTTCATCCCCCTTTTATGCTATCGTTTGGGGGATATCATATTTGTATCGGACGTTGACGTTTCCATTATCGTCGGTTGTATCGCCAGGTAATCGAATTCAATCGTGTGGAGGGAGTCGATTGATTCGGTGACACGAGACATTCATGATGTTTGTAAACAGTAAGCTGACCTTCCATTTGGGAAGGTGAAAGGAGGGACAATGATTCGGGGAATGGGGCGGTTTTTGTCGGTTAAGTGGGGCTTGTGATTGGGTAATGGAGTGGAGAATCGGAATGTTTGATTTTGGAATTTCGTAATGTTCTCGGCAGCGAGGGGGTTTAGGAGGAAATATCAAAAGACGTTTTTTGTAGAGGAGGAAATTCTCGATGTGAAATGACTTTTGGCATTTTCTCGTAGATCCACTGGTTAGTGAGATAATCTAACATTGAAAGAATGTGAAAAATCAATTTTTGGGGGGATTGTTGTTAAATTAGTGGAATGGTAGAGGATTCTGGTGTTCAAGGATCAAACAGTCTTGAAGGTTAAACGGAAGAGGTGAACGAAGTGGCCAGAAGAATCAAACTTTCTTAATAGTCAAGTGGGAGAGACAGGTGGAGGGGTCAAAGGGTCAAATAGGAGAGACGAGCTAAGTGACCACTCTAGTCGTCTCTCCTACCAGACCATTAAGAATGTTTGACCCTTCTGATGACTTTGATCATCTCTCCTGTTTGACCCTTAAGAAAATTTGACCCTCCGCCTGGTTCTCCCGTTTGACCCCAATTTTTTGAGTAAAAGATGGAAAAAAGGTTATCGGGATTTTGCTCTAGATTCGTTTTGTGATAGCGTTTCACTTTGAACCACGCTCTCCTAAAAGTCAAACTTTAATGATTAGTAGAAAGTGGGGCAAAGCGAAATGGTATCGAATTTCGTTGTTTAGAGTCTAACAGTGTTGAAGGGCAAACGGAAGAGACGGACGAAGTGATCAGAAGAATCAAACTCTTGAGGGTCAAATGGGAGAAATGGGCGGAGGGGTTAAAAGGGTCAAATGGGAGAGACGTGCGAAGTAATCACTCCACTCGCCTCTCTCATTTAACCCTTAAGAAAATTTGATCCTTCACCTGTCTCTCCCGTTAGACCCTTCATCATTTTTTTGAGTAACAGAGATGGAAAAAAAGTTATATGAATTTCGCTCTACATTCGTGTTTTGCTATCGTTCCACTTCGCCCCACACTCCCCTGAATAGTAAATTATCGCATGTACGAGTCGTGTTGAGCATGTCTTAAGCTCTGACCTTTTCCTGTAAATTGACTCGTAATCGAAATAATTCAACATTCAACGAGATGGGAAAAATAAATTTTACAGGAGTGTTTTCAAAATTTAGGTTTTAGTAGAAAATGTCAAGAGATTTTTTCCAGAGAACATCCCCCTTTAAAACTCCACATTATCGAGATAATTCGATCACTTCCACCTAAAAATCTCAAGAGACCTCTCTCATACCTCCTAAATTTCCCCCACAAAAACAATCCCCTAAAACCACCCGTTACCAAGATAATGCAACCACCAACGAGAAATAAAAAATCTCCTTCTTTCCAGCAGTAGAACTTTCACGTAATTTAAGTCTCTCAAACATGAAATCCTCTCAATTACTAATTCACCTCAAAAATCCCAAGAGACTTGTTTATCCTCTCTAAAATTCTCCACAAAAACCATCCCCTAAATCCTCGGATTATCAACGCAATTCAATCATCAATAAATAATGAGAAATTCTCTTCCCTCCAGAGGTAGAATTACTCCACTTTAAGTTTTCTCAAGCATGAGATTATCTCAATAACGACTAGCTTCACTCGAAAATCTCAGGAAACCTTTCTCATAGCCGATGATTCCCTCACAAAAAATGTTTTGATATTTTCCCCAAAGCCACCCATTACCAAAATAATTCAACAATTAACAAGGCATGAAACAAATCTTTTCCTCCAGAACTAACTTTCTCAAAAATGCAAGTCTTCTGAACATCAAATCATCTCAATGACGGCCAATTTTCCGGGAAAATCTTCGCAGAGGAAAAATTGACTAATTTCCAGAAGTTAATGATTTTAAGAAACTCATGATTTCACAGGACATTATAGAGGGTTACTTCATTAGCTCGAATTTGCTCATGACTTAAAAATATTTGTACACCCCTAGATCCGCTGAAATCGAATCTTCTGCGGGCGAATCTGTTGCTCGAAAATCAGTTCAGGAGATGTCTTAGGGTGCAAGAGACAAACAATAATATGAGCAAACTTTTTTCAAGTGGAAACAATTGTGTTCATGACTTAAAAGTATTTGTACACCTCTAGAGTCACCTAAATCGAATCTTCTTGTAGCGAATCTAGGGAACATTTGAGTGTTTAAGGATCAAATAATCATATGAGCAAACTTTCCCCAAGTGCAAACAATTTTGCTCATGACTTAAAAATATTTGTACACCCCTAGTCACCTAAATTGAATCTTCTCTTAGTGAATCTAGGGAACATTTGAGTGTTTAAGGTTCAAATAATTATATGAGCAAACTTTCCCCAAGTGCTCATGACTTGAAAATATTTGTACACCCCCAATCTAGGGAATTATTGAGGGTTCAAGAGTCAAACAATCATATGAGCAAACTTTCTCAAGTGCAAACAATTTTGCTGAAGGTTCAGAAATATCAGTAGGGGAGGGTGGGGTAAATGTAATGGCCACTTTAGACATCTTTAAAATTACTCACAACTCAGAAACAAATTTATCAATGGAGCTCAGTTTAGGCTCATCACAAAGGGCAAGAATTGTTCTTTGCATTGAAAAAAAAAAAATTAAATTTCATCACCATTTCACCCTGTCATTAACATTTTTAAAAAAGTCAAAAGTGTCCACTTTACCCCAACCTCCCCTATCCCTCATCACAACAACACCCCCCCCCC